GTATTTTTGCATATAGCACTAGTTATTTCACATTCGTCTATCATCAAGATTAACTATTTGTTCGAACAACGGAACAAACCTAGGGGTACTCTCTTAAATGGGCTATATAGGTACGGCCCTAAAGGGCATGGTTTTTAATTCGTTCTGGTCAGAAATAGGGAATCAATTTTGGCCATTTTGGTCTCAATAGGGCATGGGTTTTGCACTTTAGTTTTGAACAGGGTATATATTGTTTTAGAAGAAGCTACTTTTTCATCATTATCGATAAGACCATCAACAAAAGCCTTTCACCATGCCTTTAACATTGGTCTGAACTAGCCAACTAATTATAGGGCAGATCCGAAACATGGTCTTCACTAGGGTATGAAATTTCTGTTCAGGTCATAAATAGGGTAGGGAAAATCGCAGATTTTGGTCTTAAATAGGTTAAGGGTTTTGGAAACCGGGCCCCACACCCCCCACCTAATTTTTCTGAGAGTACACTCCCAGGGAAAACAGACAAATCAATTGAATTTGTATAACAGTAATCAGCGGTGATTGTTTGTCTTGTATCCTTTAAGTTCACGGATTTTGTACTCCTGCTACCTGTCTTCTTCCAATAAGTTGACACTTTCGTACGACTATGTCGGTATTCACAGCACGTACTGATCGTATCTCTGTATTTGCAGACGTGGGATGACAATCTCGCCAACTTAGCTCAGATGTGGGCAAATAAGTGCATATGGGATCATGGATTTGTGAAGTTCGGTGACCAGTATCCTTATCCCGTTACCTTTACAGGACAAATAGGTATTTATAATTCGTATCATTCGTAGTTGCCCAGTGGGACACATTTTTGCTCATAAAGTACAGTGGAAGCCCGTTAATCTGGTCACGAACGAGCCACAAAAATCTGGTGGTATCATCAGGGTGGCCGTATTAACGGGGTTCTTTGAATAAGAAAATGACTGACTAAGTTTTTGTTCGGGCCAGAATAAAGTGGCTGTAATAACGAGGTGACCGCAAGGCGGGGTTCCACTGTACATCCAAATATGTCTGTTGATGCCTCAAACCTCAACGTATTCGGTCCAGTATAGCATATTGGGCCTGATTGAACCTTGAAACATCACATTCAAGGAACTGGAGGAGCCAGCTGGCTGGTAAATACTGGCGATTACCCCTCGTTCATGAAACGTTTAGAAGTGTTCCAACTCCCTCTCCATGGGATGTGGGTCCATTGCAGGTCACTGCCCAGCTTTTTCCAGCTTACCCCAAGGATGGCTTAAGCGAACCATCCAATAAATCGCTGGCTAGCGGATAGCATAAGTGAGTTTATCAATGTTGAACTGACATGCTCGGAACAACCGGGCCTCCGGTGTCGATTTGCTCTCTTACGATAAAATCGAAAATTTACTGGAGAATTTGAGTAAAAATTAGCGGTCTCAGATTCGTAGAAACGGCGTTAGAATTGTCATCTCGCCTCTTGAATTTACCATTTGCCAACCTCCTTATTGCTTAGCATTTAATTGCTGCTGGATTTTTCCCTGGTAGGTCAAAATCTCGCGCGCGAGGCGGGCGAGCTTGACAATCCAGAAAGTCGCGTGGAGAGATGGTACAATGAATACAAGAAATACACGTACAGCAAGTTTCAGAGCCCAATGAGCTCCGCTGTCTGTTCCTCAGGAGTATGCGGACATTACACGCAAGTAAGTCGTGGAGAAACACGGAGCTTCCTACGTACACATAGTCTGTATACAGACGTTTTCCCCAGCCCCACACCCTTGCGTTTTGGCTCGTTCATATTCCACGCGCAGGGTTAATATTTTGCTGCGCTTGCGAAAACAACGAACTCAAGACAAAGTAGAGGGTATGTCGACAGACTACCCGCAAACGGTTGACGAGGCCATAACTTAGTTCTGCCGCTTGAAAGGACAGAGCATTTTAAAACAATTTTTGTAAATAGATGACTATATAACTTACTTTAATAATTTTCACTATTTTAAGCCATTTCTTTGTACCATCTCACGGATTCATCGCATTGCATGTATTAATGTATTTATACCTTTTTTTATTATTACTACGCTCTTTTTATTGAAAATTGGTCAAACGGATGTTTTGAATTCTAGTTTTAATAAAGAACGTTACTTATCTGTGCTAATAATCATTAATCGTTGAAATTTAATAATTTTTTTTTTGTAGTTAGATCTTGAAGAAATACTTTTAACCTTAATTGTTTTTTATCACTGTATTTCTTCGCTAAATTTAGTTACTTTAGGGCACCTACTCGGCTAGTTCCATAAACTATTTTAGGGGTCCCAAACTCCACACAATCAACCTTGTATTAAAACTATTTGTCTTCCTTTATCTCCTTTTCTTTTTCTCTTCAACACTTTATTTTTTAATCACAATTGTAAATTATTTCATTAATGCTATTTATCATCTTCTATATGTAATTTTTTCATATATTTATATATATTCTATTTTTTCTGACACCTCTGTAAAATTAATGTTTGTGAAAGTTTAAATAAAAATTGAATTGAATTGTAATCGTTGTGTGCGTTTCAAGGGGTGTCTAAGTTTAACTGTACCTTCTCTTTAGCTTGCGTGGGCAAAGTCCAAGTATGTTGGATGTGCAGTAGCTTTTTGTGCTAACTTTTTCCCAAGTTATGGCCTTGGAGGGACAATGGTCGCTTGTGACTATGGCCCAACGTAAGCACGAGCTCTTGTTGTACTTATAGTCTAGTATTTTATCTGTTACTTCTTCCATGCTTTTCAAACTGCCTGATAATGTCTATAACTAGATAAACGCAGAGCATATAACGGAGCTTCGTTTTTTGAAAAGATTATCCTAAATTTTCCAAGTTCGTGGTTTGTAATCCGTGTTAATCTTCTCCATCCTTAACCATCCTTGTTCCTCTATGGTTTATTATTATCTCTTCAGTGTTTTTCTATCTTAGTTAACTATTATTTTCAGGTTTCCTTCAATTTAAAAGTATCTTTGTACGTGTTAAAAATAACTCAAAGCGCATAAACCATCCTTAAAGGATTCAAAGAGGACGTACATCGAACAAGATTATTCTAAACTTTGGAAGTCGTACGATATTCTTTAAGAAAAAAAAAGTTAAAAGCTGAGTTAAACGCTAAGTTCAAACTACTTATTTACCTGCATTACAACTGACAAGAATTTAAAAAATTGTACCAAGTGAAACCACAAAATAATTCAAACAATTCGTGACACTCTTCATGAAGTAGCGCATGGAATACATTTACTTAGAGTTTATGAACAGTTAATGGTCTTCTTATCTCAACTTTTCCTCCAACTACCTTAAAAACACAACGAAAAGCTTTGACTTTATAAAAAGAACTATTATCATGAAAAATATGTTCCTTGAGGATTGATATACTGGCTTGACAAGCAAGATTATCATAGCACTGAATTTCAAGTTATGCGTGTTGCTTTTATACTTTCACTCTAGAGGTAACATGATTGGCGAATATCCTTACAAGACAGGAACTCCATGCACTAAATGCGCCTCTGGTAGAGGATTCTGCTACAAGAATCTATGCAGTAAGTAAAAAACGTTTAAATCTCACCTATTTGTAGCAATCCACCGTAGGAAAAAAGATGG